AATGAGTTAGCCAAGTCAAAGTGAATATTCGAACTCGTAAAGCAAGCAAGCAAGCGGTGGCAGCTTCTAGAGTACAGTGACGTGATAGTGATAGAGGAGTACACGGAATGGGTGAAAATGTAGCATAATACATATGTATGGATGTGATAAGTGTGTACGTGTAATATATATATATTTATGTGGCGTGATGAGACAAGGCTCCTGCGGAAGTAATGATTAAAGGTTAGATCAGGCTTACCCTCGCTGTCGGCCTTCAAGTAGAGCTGCCCCTTTGGGCTCAGACACTGCCGATACTCGGTCGTGTAACATGCTGTATTCATTCAAACCAAATTTCACGTTATCAAAGTGTAATCAGACGACGTGCTTTTCTCGCGCTGTCGCTGCATAATGCAATCCGCGGGAAACTCATCGGTATACTTGCGCTTTTTTTTCGCATTACATCTCTCTACATGCACGATGTCGCGCGCGAATTCAAGTCACAAAGAGTCGAGAATGAAACATTAGCTATATGTGAGAAATAAGCATGATGGAGCGTTAAGGGAGAGACGTCGCGCAGCAACGTTATACGTATTTAATCACGCTGTTGGAAACTTTTTGTTTAAGGCGACTCGTAATCCCAGCGCGGAGAACGCTGTCTTGTTTTGCGAAACTCGCATATATATAAAAAGTTGCGCGTCCCAGTTTACACGACGGTTTTCCAGTCAATCTCCGGCCTATGTATTTGGAACGCCGTCGGTTTACTCTCACAGAATGCCAAATTAGTTTCGAACTGGGAAGATCAGAGACGACAGCCGTGGGAGTTGGAGGAGAGATTAATATCTGACTTGGTATAATATCGTAACGTCTTAGCGGAACGAAGGGGCAATTAACCCCGACAAAAGTTCTTATCGGTATTAAATTCTATTATCGATCGGCGAGAACCACTTTATCCTGCGTCTCGTCATATAAAAGTGTACACAGTGTTACGTGTCATACTATATTAGTGACAAACGTTATCAATTATATGGTTTTTATGGCAATATTTCGGTGTTAAGTTCTTTAAATACAAATGAGAATAGCAATATGTTATTTTATTCATTCAATGTGTATGTTCTTTTTGATAATGCCATGCTATTATTAACCCTCTAACTTCGATTAAATGTTAACCTTGATTAAATATTAAGTATAAAATAAGTAGAACGAAAGTAAGAAATCAACGGATAACGTGTGTTCTATCAACAGCTCTTAACGGCGATACGATGTAACGCGATGCTGGAGCTATTATAAAATCGATAATGCGATTCCAATATCGATTGTCAGCATTAACATAACGTAATTATGCAAAGACGACGAAAGATGATTTCCTAATTTCCTTCAGAATTGAAAACGCTTCTTTAATATCGCATGGCTACTAATGAAATAAATCACTTGAAGACGCACGACAACAATAATTGCGCTGATCACGCAAAGGAAGTCTAAAATTAGTCCAAGACGTAGCAGTACAGTCTAGAATATCTACAAGTGTCGCTAACAACAAGAGCATCTACAAATGGAACCATGCGATATCGAAGCAGCGAAAGAGTAT